ATATATAATATAATATAATATAATATAATATAATATAATATAATATAATATAATATAATATAATATAATATAATATATATATTAGGGGGACTAATATTAGTATCAAAAAATAAAAAAATTTTATATTAAAAATATCTATAAAAAAAAAAGTAATCAAAATTTGTTTTAATAGTAAAAAAAAAAACTATATTAGTTATATATACTTATAAATAAAATAAAATAAAATAATACAATTATAAATTACATTAACTTTACATGTAAAAATAATAATAATAATAATAATAATAATAATAATAACATAGTAGAATTATATATACTTGTATATATATATGAGGGGAACTAATATAAGTAGCAAAAAAAAATATCTATAAAAAAAAAGTAATTAAAATTTGTATGATAGAAATAAAAATTCATGTAATTTTATTAAAATATACAAAACATAAAACAATTTCAAAGTATTTAAAACTTTAGTAACAAATAATTATTTATAATAAAACTTATCACACAACAACAATAATAATAAAATATAAATATACAAATATTATGAGAATAAATTTGTTTCAATGGTAAAAACAAAATTTATAATTATAATAATAAAGCTGTCACATTAAAAATACGTCTTTGAACAGAAGGTCTGTGTGTGTGTGTGTGTGTGTGTATTGGCAACTAACATAAACAAATTTATAAATGCTTCAAATTTGTCATTGTATTTATTTCTATTTAATTTACTCATTATATTGAGATATATATATATATGTATATTAAATATCTTTGATATACTATCTATCTTTCTCTCCCTTGTAAGTAAATTTAATGACGTAATAGGATTACCAAGTGCTTCTTGGGAATATCAGCTTACGTTAGGTAAGAGAAAGCCTCTTTGGTATCTCACGAGAGAACTCAAGTCTCGATTTTTAGTATCTTCTTCTTCTTCTTCTTCTTCTTTTTTTTTTATATTTTTTTATTATTTAATTATTTTGATTTTACATGAACATAAGTGGTGGTAATACGTGTAAAATCATCTACCCTTTACGTATCTTCAAACTGATGCAATTTTATTACAATATATATATATATAGTATAGTATGGTAAATGTATGAAGAATAAAATTGACAAAATTATTTGAAATTTTTGTACACTAGTTTTCATTTTGTTTTTTTTTTCTTTTTTTTTTTTCTTTTTCTATTTAATTATATTTTTAATTTTATTTTAACCACCACATATTTAATCAAAAAACAAACAAAAAAATACTAACAAAGAATTAAAACGTTTTTTTTTATTTATTAATCGATACGAGGTACTTGAAAATAAAAAAATAAAAAAAAAACAAAATTAGGAATTTAAAAAAAAAATAAAATATAAAAACAAAAAGTATAAACAATTTTTTTAAGACGTGATAATTCATATTTATAAATGAAATTATATTCAAAGTTATTAACTGTTAATTAAAATAATTATCATAGTTATTTTTGTGAAAACATTATTTACAATGTTTAAAACTTCTTATAATTATCGTTTTTCAACAACTTCGAAATAAAATAGGAATCTTTGTGAATAGTTTAACATTTTTTCTAATAATTATAATAATAATAATAATAATAATAATAATAATAATAATAACTTGTACGTTACTTTTCCATAGAGAAAAGTAACGTAGAGAAAGTACACGACTTTCTTTTTCTTTTCTTTTCTTTATTTTTATTATTTCTTTTTTTTTTTTTTTTGTTAAGTAATACAAAAATTATTATGAAAAATAAGTTAACTATTTTTATAACAACATTTGTTATAAGTCATCATTAAAGGGTTAACAAAAATAATCTTCAGTTGTTACAGTTAAATTCGAAAACTTGTGTTTTAGGAGGATTGTACATAAAAATTTGAAAGATTTGTAAAATAAAAAAGAACATGCCCCTCGTTAAATTTGAAACTTTCGAGCGTAAATATCTGCGATAAGAGAATCATCAAATATCTTTGGAAAAACTTTAATTGGACATCCACTTCAAAATAACATCCCTTCATCTACCCCCCCACATCCCACTTTACACCCCCACCTATTTCTTTTTACGTTTCGATTTTTCCTACTAATCATTTTGTTATCTTTTATGTTAACACATTTCAACGACTTTTCTTCTTATAAAAGAAAATTCATTTTATGAGATCAAACTATAAAAAAAAAAAAAAAAGAAATAAAAAAAGGACGAACGTGTAACATCGATTACGTCAATATTGTTATTAATTTTATAGAATACTAATTTTAAGAAGTTCTTACTTGCAAAGTTTATTTCTTTACTGAATAAGTTATGTTCTTGGAATACACTGTATAGATGTGTATAATATAAAGTATGTATGTATATATATCTATGTGTGTTTATATATTGGTGACTTCCTTCAAAACGGAAACTAGTTGGGATATATTTTTAGTATACCGGATGTATAACCAAAAAAAGAAAAAAAGAAGAATTATAATTTATGGATTATAAAAGTCACACGGTATATCATTTTGAATTTATGATTTTTGTTTAATAATTAGTTTCTAATATGGAACACTTTTGATTATATATATATATATATATATAATTTTATTTCTTGTATATTTTATTTATTGAATAAAATGTATGTGTAGAATGTTTATGTAATAATAAGAGAATAATTATGTAAAGTTAAAATATTAAATATATATTATATAAATATATAATATTTTATAATGTAATTAATATAATTAAATTATTTAAAATATAATATAATATATTTTATATTTAAAATTATATTTTTTATATTAAGAATATTATATATTATATATTTATATAATATTAATAAAATATATTATTAAAAAATATTAATAAAAAGATATATATATATTTGTATAATTTTATTATATATAAATATATATATTTTATATAATAATTTAATTAATTATATAGTAAATATATATATATAATATATAGAAATATATATTTTANAAATATATATTTTATATAATAATATATATAATAATATAATTAATAATATAGTAAATATATATTAATTATATTATTATATATATTATTATATATAAATTGTATTATTAAAATTATATTTAAATATATGTATAACAATATTATATATATTTGTTATTGCAACAAATATTTGATATAGTAGGTTATAACAATAAATGGAAAATAATTTATCTATTGAAAAATAATAAACCAAATAATATTATTTTTAACATTAATTAATATTATTATTCGAATAAAAAAAAAAATAATAATTTGTTTTGTCAAAATAAAAGCACAACAAATTATTATATATATATATTTTTTTTTTGAATTAATTGTACTTAATAAATTCAAGTGTGTTCCATATTAGTTATTAATTATTATTTTACATGTAAGATGTTATATTAGTTCGTCCTTTTAATTTTGATCATGGTGTTGAACTAACTTGAAACGTAGACATTAATGTACTATTACTTGCACTTTTGTTAACCCTCGATGTATCGTGTAAAGCTGTTGTTGCATTACTCGACGTACGTCTGTCCTCGAACCCCAATCTTTTTCTCAATGCATAATAAACGCGTTTCTTTAATACAAACAAAACAAATATGGCTAATCCTTGTAAACAATTATACAAGTCGGAAAAATAAAAAAAATCTTCTCGCCATTTCCAATCTCGGGCATATTTGTTCATGAAGTATGAGATTATTTCTAATATCCAGGATATTCCCATTACTATGAACAATTTGATGTTCATCATTAACCTAAAATAACAAATAACATTAAAAAAATAATACAAGATGATGAATTTTTTCATTAGAATAATAAGATTTGATGATATAATAATAGTAATGTTAATACAGTTTGTAACTTTAATGTAATTAAAATATTCGGTAATTAATATTTAATAAATAATTGCATTGATATTGTGATTATAATATGATAAAAAATTATGTATCAATTATATAACAAATAATATAAAATTATATTCTTTATATAATATAATTTTAATTTTTTTAAATATAATATAATAATAATAATAATATAACATTAAAATATAATATTAAATATAATATAAATATTA